ACCGGGAGGGGTTACCGGGTGACCCCCCCCCCCCCCGTGATATCACCATGCATGTGCGTGATGTCAACGTGTGCGATGACGTCTTCGCACATGCGCGGCGATCTTATTGATACCTGACTCATTCATTTTGGTGTCACCCCTCCAATGGTGTCACCCAAGTGTGGGCCGCACCTCCCCGCCCCCTTGTGACGCCACTGTGCTTTACAAATAATCAAAAGAATAGCTCAATTACATCACCCAGAATCCCCACTGTATTCTTTATTAGGGATGCAACAATACAATTTTTTCAGTATCAAGTACCAATATTTATATTTCGGTACTCACCGATAGCAAGTACTGATACCACTAGTTCCGGTAGCATGGAACCAGCTTCCCGGGCAATCAATCATCTCCATTGCTATTTGGCAGGCCCCATGCTGATTAGCTGGAAAGCCGGCATTCCAGCCAATCAGCATGGTTGCCGGCTTCGTGGTCAATCAGAAAGCCGGGGGACAGGTCATTATCCACTGCTTCCTGATTGACTGGAAAGCCGGCTCCATGCTGTTTCGCTGGCTCCAAGCTGATTGGCTGGGAAGCTGGCTTCCCGCCCAATCAGCATGGAAATGGCTGTTTGGCTGGCTCAATGCTGATTGGTCAGGAAGCCGGTTACTAGTATCAGTATCGGTGCATCCCTACTCTTTTTATAATCCGAAATGTAATGAAATATTTAAATGTGTGAAAATGATTGGTTGTAGAATTTTAAGTCTGTTTTAAATCTTATATAATAAATTGCTATATGAAATATCTAATAAACTACTAATAAAAATAAACATATACTAACAATAAAAGAATTTCAGTATTTACATATATTTGTTAAATTCATATTTAAAATGAATGGAGGCTGATGCTTTTACTTTTCTTGACTGTTTAGTTGCGATATGAGAAAGAAAACCTTTTCATCTTCTTGTTTTCAAATGTTTTTTTGAAAAATTACGTTTAGATGTATATTTTTTTCAATTTTTATAATTTGAAATATGCTAATAATATTGCAATATAACAATATAATAAACATTTGTACTTTTTGCAGATACTCAATGCCACAACGGACAATGCCAGAATCCTGCTGCAGATTGACAATGCTAAATTAGCTGCAGATGACTTCAGACTCAAGTAAGTAAACCCCCGTATAAAATAAAATGCCTGATAATAAGGGCCAGATTCCCATCATTAGAGCCTGTAGGTATAAAACCTTTAGAGCTGTAAAAATGCCCCACCGCTATGATTATATCTTCACAAAGACCATATTTTTTTATTGACCTTCACTTACCTTAGAACATTGTGACGAGGCACATCCCTATAATGAGGCAATCTAAAGCTGTTGCCTCAGATGGCTTCACTTTGGGTCAATTAGGGGGGCGGCAGACAGAGCAGCATGGCCAGTCTGCTGCACTGTGTTTGCTGCATGCCTACTCCCCCCTTTCCGGCCAGAGTATCCCAGATTGCTAAGAGCCAGGCGGGTAGATGCCTGGCTCCCCAGCTCTTAGCAATCTGGGAGGCTCTGGACGATGTCCCGCTCAGCTCCTGGCAACCATTGACGTCACTGGTTTGCAGTAGCTGAGTGGAATGATCTGGGTGGGATCTTGCCACCGTCGGTCAGCATGCATCACTAGCACCACCCTGGCTAGTGTGTGCTCCGCCCCCTTCCCCTGGCCGCGTCAGGTAGCAAAAAGGCTAGGGACACCACTACTTGTGACAATCTATAAAGCAATCTTTGGCTCAGGTGCTGCTCTGAAACAATCTTTCAAAGTATTACCCAAGCCAGTGGCGTAACAATCACCATAGCGACCCATGCGACCGTGCCGGCCGCTTGGGTCGCTATGGCATCTTATGCTGGTGGCTTTTTCACTGGCGGCTGTGACAAGAATGCGCTGGTGTTTAGATCACTGATGGTGATCTGTGCAGCAGCGCGTTCTTCTCACAGCCGCTGCGGAGTTAATGAGATCTAGCAGCGGCAGTGTAGCAGCTGGATCCGGTGTTCTGTTGACGCGGAGGCGGGGGCCCGTGCTCGGCAGCAGAGGAGGAGGCGGGGCCCGGTGATGGAAAAGGAGGCGGGCCTGGCGACAGAGGAGGAGGCGGGGCCCATCAGCGATCGTGCAGGAAGAGGAGGCGGATAGGTAAGTAGTATCACCAGCCCATCTGAGGGTGACCCTGCAGAGCCCACCATAGAGAGTCTCTGGTGGGCTCTGCAGGGTCGCCCTCAGGTGGGCTGCATGGGATCTCTTGTGGGCTCTGCAAGGGGCATAACTAGAAGTCACAGGGCCCCATACAAAATTTTGCTATGGGGCCCCGTGATTTCTAGTTATGCCCCTGACCCAAGCCAAAAACATTTACTGTTGTTTTGGCTGGAGGGTAGATTGGCTAATATTGGCTGTAGTTCTGCGTTAAAGTTCTACTACTACTAATTAGGTGTCTTGGGGAACTGCGTATATCTCTATGACTAAGGCTGTGATTGGGTGAAACGCGTGGGGGTGGACCTTGGGGCGGGACACCAGTGATGTAGTGGAAGCTTCAATAAGCTATCCCAGAGGAATCTGGTGTGTGACCAGCTTTTCTTCTGTTTGTATGAGCTCATGCTGGAGTGAAGATGTGCTCCCAATGGCAAGCAACTGTATCATTCCTTTCCTGAGCCTTGGAGAAGTGGTGCTTTTTGTGTGTGTTCTCCTTGCAATGAATGCTTACGATATATAAAAATATCTAGGTTATTCACTGCGAAAAGAAAACGTGTATCTGTAGTATAGTCAACTGTCTTCTTCAGGGACGCGCTCTGCCTCACCTAGTATTATGCAGAAAAAAGTTGTCAGCTTCAAGTCTGAAGCTGACAGCTTTTTCTCCATTCAGAGCAGCTTGTACCAGGTTACACAGCAGGGAAAGCCTCCTCGCTGTGTAACCTGTCATGGACGGAGCGCTGCCTGTTAAAGGCATCCGACTTTTGACAGGTAGTTAGGTTACACAGCAGCAGGCTTCCCCCACTGCTTGTGTAACCTAACTTGGTGAAGCAAGAGCTATACTCTGTGTTAGAGGCGTGAGCTCTGTGGATGGCTTGGGCCAATGGCAAAGCGCCATTGGTCCAAGCTGTCCAATCAAAAAAAAGAAAAAAAAACCAGTGAGGACATCGATCTTAATGCCTCACGAGTGACAAGCAAGTGAGGGATAGGGAGGCTCCTCCCTTCCTCCTCCCCACAAAGCTTGGTTACCGAGCTTGCGGTGGACTTTGGTGGAATGGGCATGGAGCTTCGGCTGGACGGGGCCGAGCTTTGGCAGGCTGGGGGATACCTCACCCAGCACAGCGGCACGTCACTGGCCTTCTTATATCTATTGCCAGTTTTTTTTTATGATCACATGCATAGCTCCACTATAGTCCTAAAACCCCCAGTGCAAGCACCCCCTACCTTACTGATTGCATGTGCCTTACTATTGGCCCAGCCATCACTGTGATGGAGGTGTACAAACCAATAGTAAGGCACATGAGGAAGGAAGGGATAGGGTTAGAATAGTAGGGTATATAGGGTTGTAGATAACAACTGTGCCTGAGCAACTCACTACTGATAAATCACTACAAACGCTACACTTGGTACCAAGCCTTTTTGGTGCAATAAATGACACCAATGTAATGGTTTCAGCAGCTTAGTTCAAGTACAATAATGTGGACCATGGCATGTCAGTTGTCAGGGTTGGGTTCCTGACCAGTATAATAGTCCCCGTACCGTCTTACTGAAAATATTGTGGTATATTTAATTATCACTATAATCTCATGGCAACCACCTGGAGGTTCAATCATTTATTTAACAACATTTTATGAATTAATTATGTGAAACGTGGTATAGTACTTTCCTATATTAACAATATTCTGAGTACTTCGCATCACCCACATTACAGCTAGCACATTTAACTAGCAGTGCAGAACATGTCACGAATAAGGAGCCCAGCCAGACCCTGCCCTAAGGAGCGTAAAGTCTAATCTTCACACATATAATAGAACACCTGCAAAGTACTCAAAACGTTCAGCTGATGGTGTGGTTTGTTTGCCTGTTACACAATAAGAGACAATCAAGGTAGTGGTCACCTCCCATAGAGCTAGTTACCAATGTACTAAAGGTCACCTCCCATAGAGCTAGCTACAAATGCAGTACAGTCTATTAAAGCTACACTGCAGTGTATCCAAACAGTTACATACAAACATGAATTATATATACTTGCATTTCTTGCCTGTCATAGGATTAGTAAATCTGTGCATACAATATAGATTAAGTAGTGATTCAGGCACCTCTGCGAGGCAGCTCAGCCTGTATCTGCCTGCAGACCATTCTGCCGATTACGCTGAATTGCACAAAATAGACTGTGAATGAGCAATGAAGGATCAGCAGTACGCTAATTAAGTCATCACTTCTGTCGAGAAGCTGCCAGTGTTAGATGAGTAGCAGTACAACACAAAAAATGCATGCAGTTACATTCCAGTGTTTCATGCATCAGTAATGGTAATGCAGTTGGAGGGGGGCAAGTACATGTATAGCTGACTACGTCCTGCCAATGATCAATAAAGACTGGGTGTGCAAGGAGGAAAGTGCCAATAAACATAATGTAAAAAGTTAATTTTATTCAGACTCTTGTATCATCAGCTCACGGAATACTGAGACCACCGCAGCCGGGATGGATCCCGACAATGCTGTTGAGATCCACCCAGCTGTGTGAATGACAGGGGGCTCTGCCTACCTAGAGGCAGAGCTAGCTGTACCTGCTCCCTCCACTATCCGTTTCTCCAGTCAGTGCTGGGGGATCGGAGTGGGGAGGGGAGAAATCCCTGCGGGGAGCCATGACTCAGAGTCACCGCTCTCTGCAGGGAGATGATCGAGAAGTGAGCAAGCAACGGTATGCGTTCGCTCACTTACTGATCTATTGAGCCGACATGTGACCGTTTCATTGTCACGTATCGGCTCGAACAATGAGGATAAGTGATTTTCACTCACCTCATAGTTCTCCTTTAAAGTTTCACCTTATTATATTTTCCTCTCCTTTCTACCACCACTCAATTTGCCATCGGGAGGAAGAGACAAAACCTTGCATAAGCTCCAAAATTAATTCTAGCTGATCCTAGTTGGAGCTTGCCAGGGGGTTGAGGGCTCCATCTCCATCCAGATTTGCCCTAAACAGCTAACTTGCCAAACATCAGCTCTGTCACATGGGACTGAGTCACATGCTCCCCCACATACTCCGAATTACCGAATCATTTTCTTTGCTCTCCCTCTTAAACATTTGTCAATGGCACATGTGTCTGCATTGAAAAAATTTCCTCTATCTCTCTTCTGGCGACAACCCAAAATATTTGACTTTCCCCTTACTTTCTTATGATCACCAGGAGAAACAGAAAGAATGGATTCCTAACGGAGACACATACAGCAATAAAAATCGATCTGGGGTTTTAACCGTTCACCACTTTTTCCAAAACCTAAAAAGTTTTTTTGGGGAATTTCTGACTTCTGTTAACTTTTGTGTTCTAGGTATGAAACTGAGCAGGTTCTGAGATTTGGAGTAGAAAAAGACATTGCCGGTCTTCGTAGAGTGATTGATGACCTCAGCCTGACTCGAGGTGACCTTGAGCTTCAGATCGAGAATTTGCAAGAGGAATTGGCCTACCTGAAAAAGAATCATGAGGAGGTTAGTGTTATTTTTAAATTTCTTCATGATTTTAGTGGGGAAACTCTAGTTTTCACCCTCAGGGAAAGAGATGTTAGAAAGCCATGGGTTTCTAAGAAATGAGCCAAGGTGATGTGGGCAAAGTTTAGTAATCTTCTAACTGTTGGTAAAAATGCTAGTAAAAAAGGTATTATCATGTAAACATACATCTACAACAAATAAGCAAAACAAAATGAAAGTTGACAAAAGTTAAGCATAGAGTGTTACTCTAACTAAAACTTTTTTTAGTTTTTTTTTATAGAGTAAGACAGCCTTTCTCAACCAGGTTGATGTGACCCACTGGTGTGGCTTCTGGCCTCCTTAGCAGTGCCTCAAAATTGTGTAGCGGGACTGTGATGTGAAGGGGGGAATGAAGACCAATGTGTAGGGGGCTCCGGATGTAAAAGGGGAACTCTGATGTGAAAGGAGGGGGCTCTGATATTAAAGTGGGGCTTCTGATGTGAAAGGGGGGGCTACTGATGCAAAGGATGACTCTGATGCAAAGGATGACTCTGATGTGAAGAGGGGAGCTTGAATGGAAGGGGCACTTTGATGTGAAAGGGGAAACCCACTTTTTTGGGTGTTTTTGAGTGGGGTCCCATTTAAAATATAAGACATTTTAGACTGGGGTGCCTTAGGATTTTGCATACTTCTAAAGGGTGCCGTGACCAAAAAAAAGGTTGAGAAACGCTGGAGTAGGCAACGGCGAAAATGGCATGTCAATGCTTATTTTTGTACTGTATTTGTTCCACTGGGAGATTTAAGTAGGGTGTACACTGTCATATTTTCTTCATTCAACTTGCGTGTTGAACTTAGAAAATTTAACAGATTCCTCCATCCACGTTGAACATTGATAGATGAATCCCCTGCTATTTTTCTAAGGGGAAAATCCCTGTTAGATAGTTTTTTTTTTTTCTGAACAATATGTCCTCATTGGAAGATTTCCCCCCATGTCATATTTGAATAGAAACTAGACATGTGCAATTCGTTTCGTTCCGAATCGAAATTCGGACATTCGGATGTATCCGAATTCCGAATTACAGACATAACGAATGCAAAGTAATCCGAATTTCCATTTCCGAAATTCGGTAGCGGTATTCCGAACGTTCGTTTCGTTTTCGTTTCTTTTTCGTTTCGTTCGTTGGAGCAAAGTGACATTAGAGAAAAATATTTTTTCCCCCTCAAATGTCACTTTGCTGCAAACGAACGAATTAAACGAATAAGAAACGAATAAGAACAGAAAACGAAACGAACGTTCGACCTACCGCTACCGAACTTCATCCGAATTCCGAATCCGAATTGACTTTCACACCCGAATCCCGAAAAACGAAATAACACAAATCCGAATTTAAAACGAAACTAAACTAAACGAATTTTTTGGCAGTGCACATGTCTAATAGAAACCATAAAATGTTGGACTTCCTATCACTTTCTTCCCTGGTGATAAAGGTCACCAGAACAAATAGGATTCTAAAGAGGAGACTCAGACAGCACTAAAATTACAGAGGTTCTATTTATTCCCCACTCTATAAAAACCTAAAAAAGATACAGTTAAAAAAAGAAAACTATTCAAAAGTATATCCCAAATCTATCAGACCTTTGGGCTATGTGGGACACATGAATGGGGTTGGGGGTTAATGAAAAGGGTAGCATGGAAAACAAGACTTATCACTGCTCAGAAACCTTTTTTTTTTTTCTTTTTCATTTTTACCAATGATCCCAAGGATGGAAAATATGTCAGCTTTTGGGTTAGGAACATAGCGCTACCCTCAAACACTTAAAGCCCAAGTTTTGATTTTTTTCACCTGGACTATGAAAATTACAACATGAAATCACTTATTTTCTGCAAAATGTCCTGAATGTGAACTGTGAGCACAGTAAAGATTTTAGAAATTGCTATTTCTCTATTTTATTTAAACAGGAGGTTACGGCTCTCCGCCAGCAAGTTGGAGGCACAGTCAATGTGGAGATGGATGCAGCACCTTCTGTGGATCTGGCCAAGGTCTTAAGTGACATGAGACTTGAGTGCGAAACAGTTAGTGAGAAAATACGTGAAGATGCAAGGCTACAGTTTGAAACCAGGGTATGTATCCCCATTACTGTGTTTCATTTATAGTTGTAAGAACCCAGGCTATTCAGTTTAGAGTAATAGTTTCTTGTATAAAATAGCTTTCATTGGGTGTATCAAATTTTATCCCATGCTTTTCATTTGATATCCTGGGTTTTATTTCAACCATCTCCATTTTGATTTCACACCTTCTTTTTTTTCAGTTCCACATAGGGTCAGAACTTGGATAATGATTTACCTGAGATTAAGTCATATATGTGTAGCGACCCCGTGACCTCCAGAGGCCTGAGGTGGACCCCAAAGGGCAGAGAGGGGTGACATTTCACTCTTAGGGGCAGATCCTAAGCCAGTCAAGGGATGTGTGATCAAGAAAGTTGGGTGCCAGTGCCTTTTTTAAATGCTTTATTGGAGAACATCAACTAGAAGAGAGGGTATAGGGCTTACATTAATTTTGGCTCTAGGTATTTGGAGTCTGTTCTCTTTTTGCCAATACCCTGACTTTAGACTCACCAATTCCCTTTCAGTAGTCCTCAGTGCAGAATTAATAGGAGCACAGGCTGATACTGGGCAATAGAGCAACAGCTGAACAGGGATAGGCATGAGATCTTCTATTAGTGAGACACCAGACTTGCTCCTGAAGTCCATTCCATTACCAAACACCTCCAGTAGCCATCCAAATTCTCTGGTTCTCTTCCTACATCGGTCATCGACCTCTCCAGGGTCTACATGTGAGGCCTCCCCAGGCTTGAGGCCTAAGCAGCTTTTCCATACTTGAGCATCCCACCCCCAGGCTATGCCCAGGGGCAGACTGGAACTGAGCACATGGCAAATCCCCTGAGTATGTATGCACTCCCCCAGCATGCACCACAGGCCATGAAACCCCTAATGATTGGCTGGTGAGCCATAAACACTCAAGATGTTCCCTCATTGGCTGCCCCACACTGCAGCAGAGTCACACCCCACTCAGGTAGGCACAATTAATGACAGAGCACCTGGAATTAACCAGATAATAACCATCTATAAATCAGCTAGACTGATTACAGTTCTAGCACAGTTAAATTTCTAGTAGCCACCCACAGAAGGCGGTGGGGGATACATATGTAAATCTGGACGTGATTTGGCTCAATCAGAAAAAAAAACTGTCATGAGAGAAATACAGGGGCCACCATTGCTGACCTACTTCTAAATATGTTACTTGCCTGTCTGTTATGCTGCATTCAATGCCTTCTTGGTCACTGACCAGGACAAGTGTGCAGACCAGGAAAGTCTGAGCACGTAGGACATTAAATACAGGGTAGACCCCTTACCCAAAATTCTCAGAGCACAGTTTAAATACAGCTGATCAGCATGGTACACAAGACACCATCTGATGCAAAGCGTGCAATGGGACACAAAAAAAACAGAATAGTTTTTTTTATCAGCTTGATACAGTATGCAGTTTTACGGAATAGCATCTTACCTATCTTATGCGCTGTTTTCTGCTTTCTAGATCGAGGCGGTACACAGGGAGATCACAGTCAGTACAGGTGAACTGGAGCAATTCAAGACAACCATCACTGAGATGCACCGCAATATACAAGGCCTGGAGATAGAGCTGCAAGCAGAACAGAGCAAGGTATGGCTGACAGCAATTCATCATTACTACCATTTCTGGAAAAGATAGCGGAAAATTGTATACTTGCCTATCGGTAATTTTCCTTTCCTAGTGCTGAAGCATGGCAGCAGACACATGGTTTTCGTCTTCATGGGCAGAGTTTAGAGCTGTATCTCCAAGTTTAAGGGCAGCAACTTGGTCTACCCATGGCACAATCCAGCAGCACTGACCATGGTGGAGTTTGGCCATAAAAGAGTCTAACAATTTGTCCAAATATTTTAAAAAGTCAGCATTACCCTCCCTTGTTTGATGAGCCATGCTGCCATTCTTGTATCAGGAGATTTAATTGTATACCAAAATTTGTAAAAAAAATATATTGACTAATATATGATAATAAATGTTACTCTCTGAGATTTAGTTAAAACAATTATATAAATTGTAAAATAATTCCCTTTATGTGTTATTGGTTGTGGTCTTAAAATAGGAGAATGGCATAGACACTATACTGTATAATTGCAATGAAAAGACCATTCAAGTTGGCTATAAATTTGACTTCAGATTTAATAACCACCACCCCTTTTCCCGAGCATAGAAAATACAAGGTCCAAATTGGGTGATGTACAGCATTAAAATACAACAGAACTTGCAGATGTTTATGTTATTTATGTATTGATTTAAGTAGTCCTGCCCCTGCTCCCCAACATCTTTCCCTAGGCACTGATCTCAATAACCTTGGTAAGCAGTCCAGCACAGTGGAACATTCTGTTGGTTCAACACAAACCTGTGCTTTTTCTATTTAAGGAAAAGCAACAGGTTCACTTTAATGCCCTCCTTTCCTAGCAGCACAGATCTTCCCTTCTCTTTGATGCCACCTCAAGCCATTCTAGTTGGAGCTTACAGAGAGTGAGGAATCTCTGGCCACCCCCTTGTGACAGCAGTGGGACAATCATGAAGCTCCAGGGCTGTAACATGCTGCTCCATACCCGGACGAACAAGGAATTTTCTTCATTCTTAGCAGCTGAATGGAGTGGTAGCAGAGTAAAGGAAAGGCAAGTGTGTTAGAATGGGTGAAACGCAAGTTTGCTTCTAAATTTTAACTGAGGTCAGTAATTGGTAAAAAGTTGGTAAATATCTCCAAGTGTAAGGCCACCCACATCTTTCACCAGTAACCATCATTGACAGCATGTTCCTATGTAGTGGGCATCTCCTGTGGCTAGTCAAATTTGCAGTTCAAAGTCAAACCTCCTCCTCTGCCAGCGCCAGCTACTGATTGGTCTGCACATGTCCTTGAGCCAGGAAGCTTCACTATGAGCTGTAGACTTGAGGTAGGACTTACATGAGAGCCGCCCACCTCATCACTATAAGTAACTGGTGAAAGATGTGTGAGGGGCAGACACAATGAGAGATTTACCAGCCTTTAATGTGCTGGAAAATTATCTTTTAATAGCGCTGCCTTCTTCACCCATGCTAAAGCCCTGGTCCATGAAATATCAGCCAGGTAGCAATGCTAAGCGGGGGAAAAACTTAATTTAAATCCCACGCATTAGCAAATGTAACTCACTTCATATCTGTCTATTTTATTACAGAGAGATGGTTTAGCTGCCACCTTAGATAACGTAAAAGCTCAGTTTGCTTCACGTCTGGCTGAGATACAACGAGCTATTAGCAATAGGGAAGCTCAACTGATGCAGATACGTACAGACATGGGACGTCAAGCTCATGAGTATGAGATTCTTCTGAATATCAAGATCCGGCTAGAAATGGAAATCGCCACATACCGCCGTCTGCTGGAGGGGGAGGAGACAAGGTAAGATAGAAGTGATTTAAATTATAGTATAGAACAAAGGCGTATAATACACTGCAGCTTTGAACACAATGTGGTTATTACTATTAATACATATTTTGACACAGATTTTGTAATAAAATAATGATCAGTATTCTATTCTAAATATATTCTAAAGGTAAAATATAAGGTGGTCAATGACCAATGAACGCGGCCATATCATGCAATTAATTTTATATCTGTGGTTAATAGCATACACCAATGGCTGGACTCAGGAAAATAGCTGAAAGGTTAATCATATTTTGTTTCTCCAAAATAAAAAGAATTGCCTGCACACTCTTTTTGTTAGTGGCCAAGAGTGTTTGTGCGTATACATACACCAAATATTTTTTTTAAAAAGGATCAGTAATGGTTGTATATGGCTTGTAAATCCAGTTGCTACCTTATGTCCATGGCTAGCTTTAAAGAGAACCATAGAGTCTCATATATAATGGGTAGAAGATATCTCTTTCCCCTTTTCGTTACACTGTCCTTCCTTATGCACACTAAAGTTCATCCAGTAATAAAAATTGGGTTGCCGTATGTAGCCAGAGCTCTGTGAAGGGAGACAAGCCTGTCATGTGATCTTGGTAGGCTGCATAGCCGAGATTTCTTCATGGCTTTCATTCTGATCCACTAACTTCAGTCCAGAAATGAAATGAGGAAAAATCTCCAATAGTAAGTAGAGCTGGGGAATTCAATAACCAGATTTCACCAAGTGGGACTGTTGTCACCATGACTTTATATTTAGAGATATGTAGATTACCGTGTTTCCCCGAAAGTAAGACCTACCCCGAAAATAAGACCTAGCACTATCTTCGGGGATTTCTGTAATATAAGACCTACCCCGAAAATAAGACCTAGTTCGGTGGTAGGTCTTATATTATAGAAATCTGCTAGGTCTTACTTTCGGGGAAGCGGCACATAACTGTGTAAAAACCGGCCGCAGCTCCCGCCCACACGCCCACCCACACGCCAGCCTGCCGCAGCTCCAGCCCCGCCCACACGCCCACCGGCCGCAGCTCACGCCCGCATGCACGCAGCTCCTGCCCCGCCCACACGCCAGCCGCAGCTCCCGCACGCAGCTCCTGCACGCACACACGCACAATGGAAGCAACATCCGCCGGGACCGGCAACAGCACGCCGCCTTCCGGGACCTCGTCCACTCCTCCACAGCCAGGTAAGACATCCCCCGAAAATAAGACCTAGTGTCTTATTTCGTGCAAAAAAAAAAATAAGACACTGTCTTATTTTCGGGGAAACACGGTAGCCACTAGAGGGGAGTCTTCAAAGACTCCATGCTATTCTTGGAGTCCCTTTAAGTTAAGGAGATGAGAATAGTGGGAGGTATTCTGTAGCTCAGCAAAGGAGAACTGGGCAGGGGTGATAACACTGCTTGAGATTTCAGTGCAACAGAGGCAGTGTTGTCAGGTCGGACAGGAAGCCTTTGAAGCTCACTTGATTTTTGGCAGATCATTGGGTATTTTTCTGTACTTGCAGCATTTTTAAAGGGATAAAACACGGGGAAATGTGTATGTAAAAATGCATAAACAGGGAGACTTTAGGCATACTTTAGCTTATTGCTTTTAGATTGTAAGCTCTCATGGGCAGGGCCCTTTCTTGACCATCTTGATTTGTATTGTAACTGTAATGTATTCCTTATATTTTAAAGCGCTGCCAAACTGTTGGCACTTTCTAAATCCTGTAGAATAATATTAAAAAGACATGTAATTTTTCTGACACTTGACATCTTTCCCACGTTTTTCTATTTTACAGTTGGGTGGTGGAGGAAGAGGACAAGCTAAAAGGTATGTAAATTATTATTTTATCGTTCGCTGTGCTTTTCTTCAGATAAACTTGGAAACTTTATAAAAGGGCACTTTTATCCAAATAAAAAAAAATCTACAATGTAATATAAAGTGTACCTAAAAAGAAAATAATTTTAGCATTAAATAATATTCAGATATAAGTGAGGGCCCATTTTGACCCCCTTTATTAATTTACCGGTCACCACGCTGAGTTTACAATGGAAACAATCTTGATCAGTTTTACCTACTACTATGCACAATGTCTGCACACTTTACCCCCCTTTTAACCTCTTGAATCCCCCTGAAATGCAACCTCACCTCAGGGTTACCATGCAACTGTAACAAGACCATCTTGCTTTTTTCTTAATTATATTAGAATAGAAGCCAAGTACCTGAATTGGCTAAAAATAATGGTATTAAAATAAAATAATTAAAATAATATTTAAAAAAGATATTGGCAGAAATTACTACAGTAAATTTTAATAGAGTGCTACAAGTGGGACTATAATCACTACCTTTGCATGCATTTAAAATGCACCTCAATAGGACATGCTATGTCCAAAGGCCACACACACCACAAACACATCTCTAAGCCCATGAGAAGGTTGAATACTGACGGTTTTACCGCTGGTCCGGATTAACCCAAGTACGCTCTGCTAGAGCGTCCTTCGGTTGAATCCGACACAGGGAGACTTGATGACAATATTACAATATACTAAAAACACATCCTAATAAAACTTCATCAACACTCATGGCCGCCTGGAAGATTCCATGAGTTACTTAGAGTATGTTCATCTCTATCTGGTAACAAAACAATACTACTTCTAGTGTAAAATGTATATAGGTGACGGGATAAATTACATATGTCCAAATATTCAAAATATGCTTCAAGAGTCATGCATATTAGTCTTTAAATGATAGCTGTGGATGTAGGAAGATACATATGTGTGGATGATAACTGTGGAATGTAGGAAGAAAACATTATTGTTCAGAAATTATTGATCGTTATGCAACTTGTACCCCCTGCCCTCTGGATTTCCTTTATTCTTGTCTCTAGTTCTAAATCTAACATACTTGACCTGCTTCTCTCATTCCAGAGCTAAACAGAAGCCGCAAAATAAAAACTATTGTAGAAGAGGTGATTGATGGGAAGGTTGTGGCCACCGAAGTTAAAGAAGTTGAAGAGAGGCTACCAAGCATAATGCAAAAGTAACCAAATATTGCAATAAAACTATTTTTAACACTTGTAAATGTGCCAGAAATGGACAGATCCACATTCTGTGAACAACTTAACAAGCAGAGAGAAATAAAAAAAAGTCTTAAGCAATGTTTATTTCCTTGTCTTTTATTACCAGTTTAATATAGTACTCTTCAGCTTTATAATTGGATATGTGGTCTCTTAAACACATCTGTAAAACCACTTGGTTTCATCATCATTTTCAATACTTATTATGGCCACTGATGGGTAATGCAGCAGCAAAGGTCAATCTTTGTTACCCTTCCCATGACTAAGGTAGAACAGAATATCCCCAATACCCTAAACTGTCAAGGCTGCTAAGATCATCCAAACCTCCCTCCAATTCCCCCAAATAAACCAGACCACACTTCCAAGGGAGTTAAATGGCCATAGCAGCCTTTTATTATACAAATAATACATTAACGGAATTATAAAATTCAACATCAGGACAACCTACCAACAAACAAAGTTGCAGGCCTTTGAAGGCCACAAAATTGACAGATATATTCTCTGTGGAACTACTAAATATGTTAGGCCCCCAACTGCACCACACTGCCTAGGGGACAATGTTGGCTGTATTACACACCATGAACTAAGGACACCATACTAAAGACAGGGTCACCGTACAATAACCACCAGCACCTATTTTTGGCCACCTTAGAAGACCCCAACTGCCATTACTTCTATGACATTGAAATAACACCAACTGAGAAAAAAAACAGGAAACCAATAAAGTAAATGACCTTGCAAAAAATGTGAAACCAGTGGCATCACTAGGGGGGTGCGGCCTGCATCCGGGTGACACCAAAATGACTGACAGTCATTTTAGTATCATACCCTCATGGACCGAGAACCCAACAATTGGAGGGGACCTCCTGTCTGTGCCGGGGTCTATCGTCCAGCGATGAAGTCATGGCAGGGTGTCACCCCACCTTGGGACGCCCATGTGTCAAACCCCTATTTAAGCCTTCTGTTCATTGTTTACCCTGTTCACCTAGTCATGTAAGCCCTCCGCCTATTTTTCTTTTTTATATAAATAGATTAGTTATCACCTTCAATTGGAATCAAATGGATCACCTTATAACTGGTCGTAGATATTGTCAAATATGCAAGCACTACCCGAAAATGTATTTGCCAGAACCCTAAACAGGAACATTAGGGTCACACAAGTGTTTACACTTAGGCTCTGTAAGGAGGGAGGGGAAGTTGAAGCTGACACATGGCCAATAGTCTCATGTACATGAATGTATAGCCATGTATGTATATTTTTGTTAGGAAGGGTTATGTATGTATATTTTGGATAAAAAAGGGAAGAATTAAAACCCCTGGCAGGTTTTTTTTAGTGCTGTCGGCATGGTATTGGGATACTTTCCCTTAACGTCATGTCCCAAAGATGCAACAGGAAGTTAGAGAAAATCTCCAAAAGTTAAAGGGAAATTCCCTTTTAGACAGTTGGAAGATGTTCCCTCACCTCTTGTTCTGGAGACAACTCAAACATTTTGGATTTCTCCTCACTTTCATTCTCTGTGACAATGGACACGGGTAGACAATAAATCTCTCCAAGGAGGACACAGACAGAAATATAAACATGACAGAGGGCTAGCTGCAGTCAAGCGAATAGTAACTCAAGGGCTACTTCCATCTTTTAGACCATATTTCATGTTCATGTCCGCAGTTCCCCCACCTAGAAACCACCCCCTCCTTCTCTTACTAAATTGAGGGAGTGCTTCTGCCCATAGCATCTCATATATTTTTTCATTTGACATTGGCTCCACCCACACAATTGTGTCACTCATTCACACCTCTTAGATTCTGTGAATACAAAAATTACAAGTCCTATTTGCCACACAGGCAGAGAGATTGTAGATCTCAATGGAGCACAAGTGAGGTGAAGTCACCTCACTTGTAGTCCATTGATGACTTCCTTCAGCCCCATAACTGGCCTAGGCTGGGTAAATAGTTTGCAGGAGCCTGTACATTGCAAACACAATCCACTGATGGTGTTTGCAATGCTTTGCAGCCTCCTTTGCAAAAAAAATATTAATTACACATTGTGTTACCTATATGTATTATTTTTTCTTGTAAAAGATTGTAATAGCCATTAATAAGCAATCAGTGTCCGGAAAGCTGATATAATAAGAATTGATACACCTAAGATGATTTTGCTTGTGAAGATTGTAGAGGTCAGCATTAAAAATGAATATGATGACTGACGCTTGAAATTCCACAGTTGTTTCTTCACCGGTCTAAAGAAGAGCAAATAAAGCATTCCTGATACAGAACAGTGACCTACAGGAGATGACACCACCAGTCAATGATGCATGCCAATTTATCATTGTTCAAACATACCATGGAACTTTTACTATTTAAATATAGTCAGTCCAAAGTAGAGTAAATGCAGATGCTCAGAGTAAGAGTCTAACTTCTGGTATATCCCAGAAAGTTTGTATTTGCCTATTTTTATCCTTTAAAAACAAAAAAAAATGTACAGTCAAGTTGCCTTTAAGAAGGTGAACTCTGTGAAGACTGGCTCTGTCCATGGCACCAGCATTGGCGGTATAAATTACAGAAAAGTAACGTCAGGTGGGTATGCCCAAAGTGTTTATGCTGGAGCCGGAGGTCTGGGCACCAGAGTTTCTGGTGTTTTACAACATACAGTGCATTCCGGGAGTCCTCTACAGCATGGAAAACGAGAAACGAGAATCTTTGGGAATGAGAAGGAAACCATGAACAATCTGAATGACCGGCTGGCTTCCTACATAGATAAAGTGCACTCGTTGGAAGAGTCTAATGTCCATCTAGAGGCACAAATCAGAGACTGGTATAGCAAGAACACTGGGAACACGGAAAGAAATGATGACCATAATTTCCAGGTTATAAAAGATCTGAGAAATCAGGTAACCCAAATTTGTTTTAATAGGATTAGCTAATAGCGCTTTGTAATTTGTGAAGAACATTAGAAATATTAACTATTTCCTTTTATGAACTATATTTATATTTGTATCAGGCATAGATTAGTGGTGCTCAGTCTTTTGGACTTTGGAACCCAAATGTTGCTATGCTATTGTTCTGTGGGCCTCAGAGATGTGGTTTCCAGCTCAAGGCATTGCAAAAGGGGAGACTTAAAAAAAAAATGCTTCTTGGACCTTGTCTGGTATCATTGCCCATTTGTTTTGTGATATAGACACACTTGATATAAAATTATTTGTTTGGTAGATGCCATATCAGTTGAAGCAATATGTAAAGTCACGGTCAGACAAACACACCCAACTTCTCTTAGAACTATACTACTGGAAGATTGACTTAGCTGAGAGTACTCAGGCCATGTCACTATCCACAGTCCCTATCATAATATACAGACAGTTTTATTAACCTTTAAATGGTTTGGTAAACACTAAGGGCTGAGGACCCTTCTACTGCAAGTAAGCCTTTGGTGATTAGTACTTGATAACTGAAATGTCCTCTTCCAGGGAGTTGCTAGTTTCAATTTTCAAAGTTAGACTTTAAGTAAACTTTTTCTAAATGTTATCTATTCGGTTTATGAACAACACACCAGTCTACGATCAATGAATAAAACATCTGCTCCATTCTCTCCATCAAGAGCTAGTTTTTCCCTTTTTCGGTATGACCATTTTATTTTTTGTATAGCCATAAAGATAAAGTCAGGCTGTCAATAAAAGCCTGCATATCATGGATACTTCTGCTTCTCCTATAACAGTTGTATGCTACTAATTTCTGTGGAGCAGTAGGCTCATGTCAGCTGTCAGGGGGAACAGTTAAGGCTGGAGATATGGGCTTTGATACTGACCATTTTTTAGAAAAATTTAAATTTGCATGCCAGTAGCGGGGCTGTTAAGCTACATATTTTGAGGAAAGAAAGATTGTCTCTGAAACAACTGATGGATCAGACTATATATTAGGAACTATGTTTACATTTATAGGAAACAGTAAGGATCTCAAGTATCAAGCTTTCCAACAGTATTACAAATAGGATTTTGCTATAGACCAGGGGTGTGCATTGTGAGATTCAGGACTCCAAATTAGATTTTAGAGTCTGCTTTTGAGTTCCTCATATTGCCAAATAAGTAATACATTCTGCTGAGATTCCAGATCTATTAAAACGTTATATCATTATTATTATACAGGATTTATATAGCGCCAACAGTTTTTGCAGCGCTTTATCTTAAAGGAGAACTATGGGGTTAAGGCTTTTCCCCATAGTTCTCCTTAGGGTAATGGGAGGACACCAACTAGCGTCCTCCCGTCACCCTAAGCTCAGTATACTGCGAGCTACTGCTCGCGGTATACTGAGACGCCGCAGCTGAAGCGGATCCCGTCAATTATGTCTGGATACGCACAGGCGCGTGAGTGACAGCTGGCTCTGCCTATCTAGAGGCAGAGCCAGCTGTACCTGCCCCCTCCCCCGTCCGATCCGCCAGTCAGCGCTGGAGGATCGGAGGGGGAATCCAGCCCCTCCCCTGTCACGGCAGAGAGCTCTGACAGGATTGAGAGGTGAGCGAACGCCGGTATGTGTTCGCTCACCTCCCGATCTACTGAGCCGACCTGTGACAGTGTCATTGTCACAGGTTGGCTAGAACTATGAGGTGAGTGAAAAGCACTCACCTCATAGTTCTCCTTTAAGCAGAAAATGGTTCATCACTTGCCCTTTAAAATGCTTTAATCAGCATTTCAGAAATATTATAGGTATCATTCATTCTGCAACAATATATGCTAAATCAGGACCAGGTTTAGAACATGGCAGGGGTGGGAGGGGACTGAGACACTTCTGTTTTAGGTGGGCCCCTCATACACAGGAATTAAAATACACAGCAAATTGCCAAGTTTACACATCAAAGTCCGTTTATTGCATGTCATTGGAACTGACAAGTTATATCAGCCTTTGTCAACTTTTCAGTCATGGAGCGCTTTAAAAGTGTGCAAAATCTCAGCCCTCCCCCCCACCCCCCATTTTAAAAATTTAAACATTTTAAATGTAGAAATGTAACAAGAAAATTCAAAGATCCTCCAAAATCCATAACAGACCTTTATACTGAGTAAGGGTCTGGTATAGCTCTTAAGGGGAAAACCCATGCAAAGTCACAAAAGTCCCACTTTCACACCAGAGGGGGGCTTTATATTAG